ACAAAAGTTTTAGATCTAAGAACAAAAGAAAATAAGAAAAGGTGACTGAGGTAGCTTAGGGTTTTTGTCACCCTTAACAACATATATATAGGCAATGTCACTAATGGGCCTCAAAACACAAAGGTCCAAACATAACAGCTTTTCTAAAGCATCATTGTGTAAGATGCAACTTTTCTGAAGTGGTCACTTCAAAGCTCTAGGTAACTTCGCAGATTTCCCAATGGAAATAAAGCGCTGAAAACCAGTTCCTCAGGTGGGCACTTCATAACTGCAGATGAAACTGTGTTTCTTCTTCTTCCTCTTCGACTTTGGCCCCATTATGTCCATTTTGTGCACTTTTTTCCTCCATTTAGCCCCATAACTTTGGATTGAGCACTCAAACCCATGTGATGTAAATATGTACATAGGCAACTCCTAATGACACCTAAATGCAATCTTTAAACATTAAATGACGAAAATCAATAGCTAAAAACATGTAAAATGAGACATATAAATTCTGCTAAATTGTAATGCACTAGCAAGACTTCTGGAAAAGTTTCTTCAGAACTTTACATTTTTGAGATATTTATTTCTTTTGTGTGTGATAAACAAAATAAAAAAATAAATTCAGATTCATTGTGATTATATATGTTTTGCTATTATTTTGTCGTAAAAGTTCTAGTTTCAAATAATATAAAATATATTTTTGTTTGTTTGTTAGATTCAAATAAAATGATATTAAATTTATTATAATTTTTATTCTTATTTAAGTTTAAAAGTAATATTATAAAGTGTTCTATATTTTGAAACAATTTTTAACCTTTTTGGATATTGAGGTTTTTCATATTTGAAGATTATATATCGGATTTCATTAGCATACTTCTCTAGTAGATTTCACCGAAAAAGTTTGTTAAACCAATATTTAAGAGGGAAATTAAACTTTTCAAGGGACTTTGACCGTGAATTAGAAGACTTCTAGAGAAACCTGCTAAAATTTTGTTTTCTCGCCTATGGTTATGAGACTTCTCTGGAAGTATGCTAAGATATAATGCACTAGTAGACTTTTTGAATATTTTGGATAATGATGTTTTCAATCATGTTTCACTTTCAGCTGTTGTATATACGGTGAGAAAGCATGTAAATAGAGACTTTTGGTTTGTAGCTTAAGGGGGAGGTTTATGTGTTGTTCCATACTTAATCAATTTTTTTGTAATTTGGATGATATTGATGATAACAAGTTATATTTATCATGGAAAAATTTATAAGAAATAACATTTTACACAAATTCAACATACTAGAATTTTAATATCACATAAATTCAAACACAAAAAATACATAAGTTTAAATACATGACATTACAAATTTTAATTAAATATTTCTTCATAAGACTTATATGGTAAACTTTTGTAACTAAACTAATATGAAAAAAACAATTATAAAAGGGGACTTGCTCTCATTAGATAGACACATAAATAAACAAAAATATTTCTAAATTTATAATTATATACAATAAATTATAAATTTATTGAGGAATTCTCAAATTAATAAATGCACATAAATGAACAAGAAAATCTTTAAAACTCATTTTACTATAAAAATGTAAATTTATTAAAGTTAACGAAGAAAAGTTCGTGAGAAATCATAAAGACCTTATAATCTGAATGAATCTTTTGTCTAATTCCCATCATTAATAAAGGTCGTGCAGCTGAAAATCTTGTCCATACATATGAAGAAGGATTATCAGTTGAATTTAATCACAAATGTGAGATAAGAAGATAATATTTTCCATGCAAAATCCTTGCTAACAGAAAATCTGGATATTGAGCTATCATCTTAATTGATTTGCCAACAAACCCAGGTTAAATTCATGAATCATACTGATTTCGAGGCCACCATCTTCGCTTGATAGGCACAGTTTCTCGGATGAGTTGATTTACTAGAGTTTGGTAATAAAAGTAAAATATATTGTTTCTCAATTCTCTAACTGGAATCTCTTCATCTTATTATGAAGATGTCAGGTTGTGAAGACAGTGATGAGCTACTTGGATATGGCAATGGAGATGGTACTGAATCACACACTAATCTACCTACTGGAAAGAAAAGGTCGGCTACAGAGAGATCACAAGTACTGACCTTCCTCCGGTGGCAACGAAAAGACAAGCTCACATGACAACAGTGTGGTAACACTTCATTCAAAAGGAAGATAACCTGATCCTCTGCAACTGTTGCTACTGTGGTCAAGAGATCGGCTGTGACACCAAAAGAGTGGGACTAGCGCAATGAAGAATCATAATGCCCGATGTAAGTTATACAAGGCTTTTGAGGAAAGTGGTAAGCAGCAGGGATTGGGAAGTGATTAGTAGTGTTATAGTTACTGCGGTTACCTATAATGCTAGATTGTATAGGAGATCTGTGAATGAGATGATTGTGTTGAATGAGATGCCATTTGCTTTTGTGGAATCAGAGGGGTTTATGAGGTTATGTCACAATGTCTTGCTCATGTATACGGTTCATTGCAGAAGAACAGCTACAAAAGATATCTTTGGGATGTTTTTTGAAAGAGAAAGTGAGTTTGAAGGAGTTGTTTACCTCGGGGAAGAAGAGAGTATCCTTAACCACATACATTTGGACAGCTCCTACAACATCCTACAGTTACATGGTGGTTACAACGCATTGGATAGATAGAAACTGAGATATGCAGAAGAGGATCATCATTTTTAAACTTGTGACATATCACAAAGGAGAGACGATTGCAGAGCATCTGAGCTCTTGTCTGGCGGATTAGGGAATTGAACAGGTGTTCACGGTGATAGTGGACAACGCAAAAGGGAATGACAAGGCACTGCATCTATTTACTGAAGCTTGTAGGCAACTAGGACCTAATGCTCTAATCAAGGATGGTTCATTGCCTCATGTGCGTTGCTGTGCGTATATACTGAACATGATAGCCAGGAATGGTCTAGCTGAGGTGAAAGAGAGTGCAGTGGCTATTAGGAATGTTGTCAAGTATGTCAGGTCATCTGGTACACGACTTCAGTCATTTCAGCTGAGGGTTCCAACTGAAAAGGTTAGTAGAGGGAGTTTGTCTCTGGATTGTATCACACGCTGGTACTCTACTTATCTTATGTTGTCAGCTGCTTTGAAGTTTAGAGTAGCATTTGAGAAGCTATTGGCAGAAGACATGCTGTATAATGAATACTTTAAGGAATCAGAAGAGAATGGGCATAAAAGGATTGGGCCTCCAACTGCTCGGGGATGGGATGAAGTGCACCGGTTAGTCAAGTTTTTTAAACTCTTTTTTTTTGAAGCACTTTAGCATTTTAAGCATCAAAGACAATGACATCCACTAGTTACTACAATGAGATTGTGATCATAGATAGGAATCTGATAGTTCTCAGCAACAGCAGAGACGACCTTCTACGACTTCAAGCAACAGAGATGAGGACCAAGTTTGAGAAATATTGAGATGGTCCCATCAACATGAATCCCCTTGTCATTATTGGAAGTGTCTTCGATCCAAGAAACAAGATGCAATTTGTATATGTTTGTTTCAACAAGCTTTATGGCAAAGACAGTGTGGAAAGTGAGCATCTGAGATCCTCAATTAGGACATTGCTGAAGCAGTTGTAGGAGGAGTATGTGCTGAAGATTGGTCCACCATCTCAAGGTGATAGTTCTGGAATGAGTGAAAATGGCGAAACAGTTAGATTGTTTGTGATGTCTGATGAGGATGAGGAGTATTAAGGGAGGGACTCTCTATATTCTGAAATGGTTTCTGAGCCGCAGATGAAGAGGCTAGTAGTGAGCTTGATATATATTTTATGGAAAGTCATGTGCCCAGAAACTCAGGCATGGGGTTTGACTACAATGTTCTATCATGGTGGAGGCGTAGTTCTGTTAAGTTTCCAATACTGTCAGAACCAGCCAAGGATGTTCTTGCGATTCAAGTTTCTTATGTTGCTTCAGAGTCGGCTTTCAGTACTAGTGGTCGGATTTTAGATCCTTTTTGTACCTGCCTCACACCGTTTATGATTGAAGCTCTTGTCTGCACACAACAATGACTTTGGAATAGCATCAGTGCAGAAAAGCTTGCAAACTTGACTCAGATGTTTGAAGAACTTGATTTCCATGAGTCTTAGGTAATTGTTTCTGTTAGTTACTCTTCCATACATATTTCTCATGTTTTCAATTCTGCATTTGAATATTTTTTTCGTTATGTAGAGACTCTAGCACTACCAGCCGCAGTAGGAGAATCAGACAATTAAAGGTACATTTTGCCACTTTGTTGTTTTGCTGTCTTTTGTGTTTTGGTGTTCTATTTTAAACAACCTATATGTTGCAGGTTGAAGTTCGAGAATTAGGAGATGATGATGTTTTCTTTTTGCTCCCTCAGTTAATTTTTTGGACATTCTCAATCTTATTTTGAACTATATCTCTATGAATCAAAGCCTTTTTGTATATGTGTTTATTGCAAAGAGTTGTAGATTCAGAATGATTGATCTTTAATTTGGATATGAACTTGTGATGATTGAGAAAGGATGAATGTTTTATGTTTATTTTTTTTTTTTGTCTTTGTACTAATTTTTTTTTCATGTTTCAGGTGAAAACCAAAAATTAGAACAAACTGGAAATAACTTAATAACCGAAAATACCCGATTATTTTCGGTTTTAAGATTTAAAAATTTAAAATCGAATATTTCAATGGCACTAGCTTATTTTTTTTCACAAATGTCTAAGGGCAGCGAGAATCGTAACATAACATAGATTGACAGTGCTAGAGCAATCGATTTGATGAGAATCGAGTGATTATATAATTTATATGTTTTCCATTTCGTTGAATTAGTTGACGAACATCCAGTGATTATATGTTTTCCATTTCGTTTATCTTTTCCGTAATATCAACCACTGATCACAAGAAAACCAAATATTTATAACAATAACGTTATATTATAAAAATCACATTAATTGGAACACAAGTAAACATAGCAAAGTTTACTGTAGAAAAACTAACTAACCACATATCAAGCGTAATTACACAACCCATAGACACAAAAGTCACCAACCAAACAGCGATGGTTACACTCTCCACAATGCCTCTTATCATAAGCCAAGTAGACGCACTCTCCTCCACAACAAGTCTGAGTGAACTTGCATTGGTTCTTACATGCGCCACAATTATCGTTATCGTACGCCACATCAAGACACTTATTGCTACAACAAGCCATTGTGGAGTTGGCCGATCCTTGACTCTTGCATATCTCCTCGTTCTTGTTGCAGTGATCCGCAGCGTTAGCGTTGCGACCATTCTTCGCGTTTTGTGCTAGGAAACGACTCACCCTATGAGGTTCTTTCGACAGAAGCGTTTGCCTATGCATATGCGTTTCTTTTTGGTTGTTGCTAACGGATAGTGTAGAAATCAGTACGATGATGGTTATGGCAATTATAAATATTGCCAAAATGATATTCTTAAGCCCCATCATTTTTTTTTGCTCGTAGGGAGTAAGATAGGGGCGTGAAATGCTTTTGAAAGAAGAAGGAAATGTAGTTTATATAAGGTTCGAGGAGTCATTTTTTGCAGTAGCCATACATGTGGGGGAATGAGTAGAGTACGTTGGAATAATTCCTCATTAATGTTGAATATTTTTCTCACAAAGTCCAAAAAATTTGCAACTAGTTTTCCAAGAATTTGACAGTTTCAAGTTTATATTCAAACAACTCGTTTTTGTTTTATAGCGTAAATTTTGTGTATTTGTTTCGGTCTCACTTATTTTTCTTCCATAGAGTAGTTTCATCGGTTGTTTTTCATTGTATATCTCAATAATGAAAACAAATTCTCAAACGAAAAATCATAAAAAACTTATTAGATACTCTACACAGCTATTTTATAGCTGGTTTAACTATTTAAAAGAAAATGAATTTTAAATATATAAAATAGCTTTTAAAATATAAATATAGCTCATATAAAAACCCATTTGAGAAATTGTAGCATTGAGGATGCTTTTAGATCCCATTGTGAACGAAGGAAGCAAATTGGGGCGGATCTAGGATCACAACTAGCTGGAGGCACACACAATTTTTCACTAGACATGTTTTTGGATTGGGGGCACTTGTACAAGCATCAAACTTATTGTTAAAAATTTTCGAAAGTAGATGGGGGCACGTGCCCCCGTCTCATGCTCTATGTCCGCCCTGTCAAGCAAGATTTATATGCATTTTATAAATAAGAGTGCTATAATCAGGGTCGGTCGAGAGGGCAAACTATCCAAACTCCCGATTAGTACATCCAAATTAAAGGGGCATATATAGTTTTCAAAAAGATATTTTTAGTACTTATAAACATGTAAAGTTTATAAGCTAAATATTACTTATTGGATATTATTAGTTAGAACAAAGTTTATTGGATTTTTCAACAATACTTATAAATTTGTTAAAGTTAAATATGTATGAATAATTACGTAAATTTCTATTTTAAATTATAAGTTAAAACCCTTATGGATATTTGTTTGATTTAAAAAAACAAGTAGATACAAATAAGGATAATTTGAGAGCATCATGTTTGAATCTGGAAGTTTGCTTACGAAATCGTATGCATAGTTGGTGATAATTTAATTATGGAGCTAAAGATTCTTCGAGAATTAATATCTGAAGAAGTTTAGAAGCCTAACGAAGGCATTTCTTTTGAAAAAATGGAGGATTGTTATCAAAACACAGAAATTATTGATTGGATATTGTTAACCATTGTGATATCGATCGCTAGAGTAAAAATAAATTTCTCGAAGTTGAAGTTGATAAAAAAGTTATTTGCGATCTACCATGTCACATGAAATGTTAAATGGGTTGGCTATGTTATCAACCGAGACAATTATGGTTGAAAAAGTTAACTATATTTTAATGGATGATGTTGTAGAAAAATTAAATAACTATATTTCAGTATTAATTGTCCTAAATAACTTGTTTTTTAATAAACAGTTTATGATTTTTTTCTTATGGAATTTTTAGTTTTTCTTTTTATATTGTTTTCTGATCTTGATAAAATATGTATAAGGGTATATTTTTAAATTTGGTTTGGGGCAGCATAAAACACTAGACCGGCACTGGGGCTATTAATTGACTATATTTTATACTATTTTTTCTTCTTGAGTTCTTGTCATCGATTTTTTTGGTAATATATATATATACTTCTGTATTGGATCAATAACTACATACATATATTATACTTCTTGGGTTCAAGCTTATATAGAACACCTGACGAATGTAAAAGTAGCCACATGCAAGATAAAAAAATGAACGATTTGATTTAACTTCTAAGTACGGTTATTGTATCATCGGTAACCAACGTATCAGGTAAAACGTGCCAATACTTTGTTTAGGTTTCGAAATAGCCCCCTAGGTCAAGCGTAAAATTTATGGCAGATGTGAAAGTAGCCACATGCAAGATAAACAAAATGAACGATTCTGAAATAACATTTAAGTACGATTAATGTATTATCCATAATCAATGTACCATGTAAAAAGTGCGTAAGATTCAATGTTTAGGTTTCGATTTGATATAGTCCTAGCAGCCTCCTAGGTCTTAATATAAAATTTATGGCAGATAAAATGACGGAACAAATGATATATAGAAGTTTGAAAAACTTTTTCCGTTAAAATGATTTGAACCAATAAAATGGCAAATTAAGTTTGTTTCTAAGGTATTTTATAATCAACACAGTACTAGCTAGTGTAATACAATGTGCCAAGCTTGATCGAGTTATATATGCTTAAAAATGGGGAAAATTAGGAAGTATAAACCGGCTATTAAGGAGCCAGAATGTGACCTTAAAAAGTGTGGCTGGACGAGAAAATAAAGGCATGCTCTATGGTGAAGCAACGTTAATCAAATACCTAATAGGCTAATAGATTGATCGAGACTTTCGTTCCAAGTCTTTGTGCCCTCTCGTACACCGTCGGCAGAATACTTATATTAATTATTTTCATTGAATATTCCTTTGTTGTTCACATTTTTCTTGGAAGTTTTTACTACAAATAAAAAAAATTTAGAATAGTTATCATGGATACTAAGTGATGAACATTTTGTTAACTTTTCAATACCGGCGATGAGAAAAAAAAAACTAACTAACTTTCAAGCTATGATTAAATTAGATCTCAAGAAACTAGAGTTTGATCATTTGTAGGCATGATTTGGTTTAATTCAAGAGAAATTGCGTGAAAGACATTAAGTTGGATATCATAATAAAAAAATACACTCAATTAGAAACTTTTACATTTGAATTTAGTGATTATTATTTCGTATTTAGTATTTAGTGGGTGGGATTGGATTTATAAACTTTATAAAAATATTTTTTAGGCAGTAATAAATGATTTAGGAGTGTTTTTTCTATCCTTTAATAATAAGCTTAAAGTATTTATGAAAACTGGCATCATTTAGTTTGATTTATTTTTGTGGATTTTCTTATTCGAGATTAAATTATATTTTTATCGAGTTATTTTAATTTCAGTTGTTTTAGGTTTTTAGAATAGGGAAAATTGCCAAATATGACTCAAAACTTGATTTGAAATGCAAAAGTAAACCCAAACTTGAATCAAATGTAAAAGTAACTTAAAAAGCTGTTGAAATTACAACCAATCCCTTGTAAACAAACAAAAAAAGAGTTTTTTTTTTACGTTTCTAGCCCTCGCAAGTCGTCTGCCCAGACGACTTTAAACTAAGTCGTCTGGGACAGTTTTTCTTAAAAATAATTTAAAAATTGTGTAATAAATATCTTGGTAAATGAAAAATTGGGATTCTGTAATTAACATATGTCTTATGCGATATAAATTAAGATATAAAAAAGTAAGTTGTTTTCAGCATAGATGAGTGAAAGTAGTGAGTGATGATATTCTTTAGTTTAGGTTTCACCAACATATGTTGTAGTATTGTATGTGTTTCTTAGGGTTAGAAATTCGAAAGCATAATTTTTTTTTTTTGAAAACTTTAAAATTTACCTAAGTGTGTTTATTTATGTGTATAGTAAACAATATTTAAGTATAATTTGATTTTATAACATGGTTAGTAGTTAATTTAGTCAATTTAATTTAGGGTTTAGGGTTTAGGGTCTGGACGACTTATAATTAAGTCGTCTGGTAAATATATTTAATAAGGCAGACGACTTAGTCGGATGTATAGTATCAACAGACGACTTAATAATAAGTCGTCCAAACCGGATTTTACCAAATTACTTTTTAACCTAACCGGATTTTTGACCGGACATATATAAGAAGATTTCTTTTTTTTACGCACTTTTCGCGAAATTCAGAAAACCCTAACACCGTTTCTCTCAAAGGTGATTTCGAAGCAATTTCGCTCCGATACAAGACAAAGGTAAATCGAAGGCTTCTCTTGCAGATTTATGGGTTTTTATTAGGATGGATGTTGTTTTCCTTAACTTTTACCGTTTGGTTTTGTGTTTTCAACGATTTTGGGGTAATTTTGGTTTCAAATTAGGGTTTCAAAAATTGGGGACTTCAATCGACTTGTTGTTTAGTTAGGTTGGATGTTGTTTTCCTCTCATTTTACGGTAATTTTAGGGTCGTCCACCTGGAAGTTCTACTGGAAGTCTTGGTAGACTTATAATTAAGTCGTCTGGAAAGTCTTCCAGGTGGACGACCCATACGACTTAGAATTAAAATGTTTCCAATTCGTTTCTTGTTTGCAGATGGCGAATCAGCATGAACCTCACTTCTTGAAGCCTCTGCTTCCTGGTTTCTACAGTGGCGTGGTATACACACGCTTCCTTTGCTTATCTTCTCCTTTGTTGACTTGTAGACAATACCACTTGCCTTCTACGCAAAACACATAGAAGGCACGCCGAACCAAGGAAAATGGACACTACGATCGGACGCTTCACACCAAACTTGGGAAGTTATACAAGAAGGAAGAAGACTCACCGATAATTGGGAAGCCTTCGCCCAAGCACACTCCCTTTGCATCGGTGACATTCTCGTGTTCAAAAAGGAAGGAGACATGGTATTTCATGTGACTCCTTTCGGTCCAGTTTTACTGAGATTCAGTATACACCTCCTCAAGGGGATGATGCTGCGGATGGTGCCTCAACTTCCTCGTCTCTTCCTAAATGATGGATGTTTGTCTTGCTATCGTCTTATTGTAATCTGCTTCTAATGGACTTGTAGTGGATGAATTCTATGTTTTTGTTCCCTTGTTTCAAATTGTTTTTAAACCTATGACTTGTAATGGATGATCAACTTTTATAACTACAACTCCTTTTGTCCTCTATGTACAAACCATGGTAACACCAATTTTAATTATTAGTTGTCTAAGAAGTCTAACACAAAGTCTAACACAAAGTCTAACACAAATTCTTAAAACATACTCAAAAAGCTGGACGACTTTGTAGACGACTAATATTATAAGTCGTCTGGAAAGTCATCCAGCCGGAAAATTTGTCAAACGACTTAATTATTAGTCGTCTAACCTCGTAAGTATTCTATTCAGACGACTT